TTTTTGGCAATAAGATCCCTGCATCAAGCTGCTATGAATCATAGCAATGAGCACCCAGAAGCTAGTAAAATCATTTTGACTGATTTTTACGTCGATGATTTGATTACTATACATGATTCACTAGAAGAATTGAAGGATTTAAAGAAGCAGATTTTTGAAATACTTAAATCCTATGGATTCGTTCTAACCCAATGGACTTCAAACGTGCCAGAGTTAGTCGAGTCAAAAATCCAAAACAAGACACATAGTTAGGAAGACGACCGCATTTTTCCTACCCCGACCGAGTTATGTGTCGACACTATTATCAATATATAGTATTATGTGAATCTATTAACCGATATTCCTGCCTGAGAGCAAATGCTGCCGGAAATATCTTTTAACAAATTATTAACAAATTCAAAAAAACGTAGCACTACCCGCATCGAGTTATGCCCTAAGTTGGGTATCAGATTGAAGGTCTCGATGTCCCCTATCTAAAAAGTCAATCCTGCCTCGTGAGAACTTGCCGGAAAAGGGTGGCAGGGCAGCTTATTGGGGCAAGGGCCCGCGGTCTCAGCTTTGACATCTATCAAGTTTTGAGCTGAATGATGTGGCAAATTAAAGGTGTTAATAAGTTGATTTAAGGTTTCTTCGCACAAAAATTCCAAACCAGAAGGAGTGAATTTCATTGTTCGAAACTAGTTTCCTGACTGTTTCCAACCAATGAAATTCGCTCATCCCAAGGCATGCTGTACCTTCCACCTATATTTCTTTAGAAATTTATAGTTTTTGCGACGCTTCCATGAGAGCTTTTGGGGCGGTAGTATTTTTAAGAAGCATAGATGCATGTGGGAACGTTTGTACACAGATTTTGTGATCTAAATCACGAATTGGGCCAACTAAGGTCATTAGTCTTCCTACGTTGGAGTTGCTGGGTGCTGTGCTTGTAGCAAAGCTTGTTCAAAAAGCTCAATTTGCACTTAAAATTAATATTGAGAAATCAATAAATATCTTTTATTGGACAGACGGTACAATCGTTTTGTCATGGATTAGTCAAGAGCCCAGCAATTACAAAATTTTTGTCTCCAACCGCATTTCAAAAATTCAAGGTTATTCTGACATGTCACAATGGCGTCACATACCATCAAAATTGAACCCCGCTGATATTATATCTCGTGGTTGTAAGCCCAGCCTATTGCAAAATTGCGATTTGTGGTGGTTCGGTCCTAAATTTTTGCAAGAGGACGAATCAAATTGGCCCGCCTATATACCTTCATCTCTGGAATCAAGTCAAGGGTCGGAGCATGAATGCAGGGCAGTAAATTTTGTTTTAGTTTCAAGCGAAACCGAAAAATTTTAGGATAAATTCCCAGAATTGATAAAATACTCAAACCTGTATACATGGTTTCGAGTGATAGCATATTGCTTAAGGTTTATAAACCATTGTAAAAATAAAAGCAACTATGGAAAGCCCACATCAGAAGAGCTAAGCATTGAAGAAATTATTATGGCTGAAACAAAACTTGTACAAATAATTCAAAATGAGAGATTTGCTCAAGAGATTTCCGATTTGAAAAAATCAAAGAGTCTGTCAACCAAAAGCAAGATATCAAATTTAAATCCATTTTTGGATAAAGATCAATTGTTGCGCGTTGGTGGACGTTTGCAGAACGCAAGCATAAATTATAATATGAAATTACTAATTTTATTACCAAAATAATCATTTGATTACAAGTTTATTCATACATCATGAACATGAGCAAAGAACATTACATGGTGGCATGCAGACTGTGCTGGCCTCTATTCGTTCCAAATATTGGCCCATTCATAGAAAAAGTGAAGTACGGAAAATAGTTCTTCGTTGCATAGTTTGTTTCAGGACAAAACCCCCAGCTCAGATTGCGCCTCTTACGGGTCAGTTAGCTGTGGCACGTGTGAATCCTTCCAGGCCCTTCACTGTTACAGGCATGGACTTTGCAGGTCCTTTCTATATCAAGGATGGTACCATCGTCACCAAAAGTAACTTGGACAGTATCACATTAGCTCTTGTCCTATTACATGAATTTTATTGTCAAATATTTGTCAAACTATGAATCAAATGCATTGAAATGAATGACAGTAGAATTAGTCCAGGAGATTATTATGCATTATTTGTGTCCCAGATACTTTTGGTGACGATGGTACATTGCGCAGCAGGAAAATAGTAAAGGCTTACGTATGCGTTTTCATATGCTTATGCACAAAGGCATAGAATTAGCAGGAAATTTATCCACCGATACTTTTTTAAACACTTTGAAACGTTTTGTTGTAAGACCTACCTAAAGAGCTTCACTCTGATAATGGATCAAATTTTTTGGGCTCAAAAAATTACTTGGACAAACAAAATTTAAAAGATTTTTACCAAGATCCATCGATTAAAAAGTATCTCTTGGAAAATCGAGTAACCTGGAACTTTATTCCAGCACGAAGTCCTACCTTTGGTGGTTTGTGTGAGTCAGCAGTTAAAATAATGAAACATCATTTACTTAGAATTTTAGGATCTATTCACTTTACTTATGAAAGTTTTTATACAGTATTAACACAAGTAGAATCTATCCTAAACTGCCGTCCTATCACCCCTTTATCTGACTATCCCAATGATCTGGAACCTCTTACCCCCGGGCATTTCTTAATTGGAACCAAAATGAACACAATTCCGGAGGAAGATGTTAGTGAAATCCAATTCAATCGGTTGTCCAAGTGTCAACAGATACAGCAGTGTTCTCAAAATTTTTGGAAAAGGTTTTCCGTACCAAATGGATGACCGACATAAAGAATATCAAACCAGGTCTAATGGTGCTTTTGCATGAAGATAATGTAATTCCATTGAGATGGAAAGTTGGTCGAATCACAGAGATTCATCCTGGAAGTGATGGAATAGTTAGAGTAATTACGGTAAAAACTACCACCGGTCAAGTGAAACGCGCTCTCACAAGGGTGAGCATCTTACCAATTGAGATGCCCGGTCAGACAAATAATCAATAACTTAAAAAAAAAACAATACTTAGTTTTTAGTGCAATCATTAGACTTTAATCTTCAGTGCATAAGTATTGTTTCTCTCCAATCATATACATTTATTTCTTTGAAACCGTATCGTTTCATGGTGAACGATATCATAAAACATTTCCTAAGTTTAAAATTCAAAATGCGCGGCAACGTACACAATGGCGGCGCTCTGTTCAAACCGTCAGGAGTAGGGAATGACGAACCCCACAGGAAAGCGGAAGTCAGTAACGGATGCTCGCACGCATCGGCAAACACACACGGGTAAGGCCGTGCACAAAGTTTCATTAAATTGTCCAAGATGTTTTAAATCCAGTGAAAGTCCACTATAATATCGAAATCCTAAATCGACACACGGATTTAGGTGAACAAACTGGAAAATGCGAAAAATTCTGGAAATGTTGTTTATCAATAAATATAAAAGCCCAGGCAGTTAAATATAAAACTGATACCAATAATTTGAGCGCCATCTATTGTAATTTGATTTTATAATTTGTTGCTTTCTTTATGGTTAATAGTCAAATTATAGCTAATATTAACAATTTTTCAAATCTTCTCGTTAGGTGTCACTGTGTTCACTGATAATAATTAATCTGTCATTGTTTTGCTTATATCTCTGTAATCACTTTGTCCTTCTAATTTTTGTATTTTTTATATTTTTTTATATTTTTATATTTTTGTGTTTTTTTTTTTGTCTTTTCACCATTTTTTTCAATGTAGGTTTTGTGATTTTGTTAGGTGCAATCGAATGTTCCATGCTGAAAATTTCGCAATGTGTTATAAAATATCATCGTTCCTTATTCGTCGACGAGAAATTCAACCCAGTGACCTCTCTCCGTCACTTTTTACGACACTTAAAAGCAATCCATTTGACAGAGGGTTGAAGCGATGACGTCAGTTGATTAGCTCCGAGCGCGAGAGTTTAATACAAAAAGAAATATAATCTCCCATGATATAGGGAGAGGAGCCCGTGTAATGGAGAATCAATTTTGGGCGATATATGTAGGCCCACTACCGTGTTTCGGAAAAAGTAATAGAATATTGTGTAGATTATACTTTTCAGATGGCGCTAAACTAACAAATAAAATAGACAGACTTAAAGGCATCATTTATAGAAATTGGAATTTGGCGACTATTTCTCTGAATATCTGGGCTGCACTGAAAATTAAACTCGTTGGACAATAAGAAACAATAAATCAATAGGTCCAAGCAAAATTGGATAATAATAATTAAGCAGAAATACATATAATCCCGAGTATTTTGAGGCAAAATAAACTTTTACATTTCCTGCTAACTCAAAATCACGGTTTTCATGCGTGAATTTGGCCAACTTGTTCTGTGACTTTCACTCGCAGAACATGTTTAAATTGATAGATATACTTATTCCAAAAAACTAGCGAAAGGGCAAATTTTTCATTTGATAGTTTTGAATTCAGAAGAAGATGTTCAAAAAGCCAGTAGGTAAGTAATATTATCACATTCATTGTTTTATATTACACATTTGGCCTAATCCTCAAAACTTAACATTGGTAACTTTTTTGATACTGGGGTTGATATGTAGGAATATTTGAAAGGGCCAGTCAATATAGTGAGTAGAAAGGACAAGGTATTTTGTGCCAGGGATCACAAACAGAAAACAACAAAAAGTTACTTCTCATGTCGTAGCAACTCCAACTCCTTGATGTAAATGTGGTTGATGGTGTTGTGGATACTGGACGTGTTGATGTTGTAAATGTTGATGTGTATGAGAATGTTGCTGTTGATTTGACCTAGGCATTGTGAGATTTCCATGTACGGTCATGTGACTTTGAACGTGTCGCGGACAACGGCTCAAAGAGCCTGTCTGTGTATTGTTTTGTTGATGTAAATTGTTAATTTGTTGATGAGATGATGTTTTTTGGATGATTTTTTGTGGCTAAAATCAATTATTATTCTAGTTTCCGATATATTCTAATACTCATTTAATTTAGTTACTTACCCTGCCATTATCAAAATCCCTTCCTACACCCAAAGTTAGTCTTGCTTTGTTCTTGAGAGCATCGCTAATAGGAATTTTCGCGCGTTTAGCTTCTAGATGAGATTTGTAGCAAAACTCTAAAGCTGCAACGCCCATGGCAACAAATAAACCTCCAATCAGGATGTAGAATACTCCAGCTACGTTGCTTAGAGACAGTTCATTACGCATCGACTCCTAGAATAAGAGATTTGTATAAATAAAAGATTAGCCTCAGGAAGTTTTCTCGCAAAGATTTTTAACTTTTGAAGGCGGCAAAGTTTTCTTTTAACTTGAAAAGTTTCCCGTGCATGGCTGGCATTGATGGCGCTCAACTTTAAATTCCGCTTAAGCCAAAATGTACGATGATTCGCATGTAAAACATGACTTTCCTAAGAGTTTCCCCTTTAGTTTTAGTTTTGATGGTATAAATGATCGATTGCGGAAGTACAGTGGTGCAACCGGGAATTGAAATTTATGATGAACACGCTCAAGCTGATAAAAGATCTAAACTTAAGAGCTATTTATAAAAAAGCTCTATCAGTTACTTTGATGTAATGTAATGGATATGAAATGGAATGAAAAATAAGGGTAGAGAAAACACTTACACTCGTAGAGTGTAGTGAGATCTTAACAATAATACAGATTTTTAGATCCAAGAATAAAATATGTTTCATTATTTATTTTTAGAAAAAGCAGATTGTGTGATTAGTATCAAGCAGTGTGATTCCTATGAACTCAAATTATGTACGCGCAGGATTCACGATTCTAGATTATTGTTCTTAATAGTCTCCAAAATTAAAACGTTTGTGCGATGCTGCGTAGATGAAAGTGGCATTTGTCTAATATTTCAACATAAATTGTATGTGCCGAGTAAACACGTCGTCAACAGCAATGAGCATTTTCACTGTAAGAGATTTTGTTGAATTTAAAAGTAATTCTTCCCATGTAAGTACACACTTATTGAAAACAAATATTCCTTTTTTACCAAAGTATGCACACTCTCTGTTTTCCTGAATTGGTGCCAAATACTCGCAAAGTTCCAACTACTTCAAAAATTCATTTATTTTACATTTCAAAGACGATTTATTGATGTCACTCCGAATATTATGTATGTTCAAGATGTTGGTCCAGTGGCAGAACGTAAACTATTTTTCCACAATTTCGTAGTTTAGACAATTTTCAAGAATTTAGCTATAACAATTTTGCTAGGTCCTAAATTTCAAACAAAGCAAAAATTCTTGGAGAAGGTTTATAAATCAGCAATAAATTCTCCCCTCTCCACCCTTGGTTTGAACTTTTGGCCGTTCGTTCCACCAAAAATCTGTTCCCGCGCTCTAAATCTCAAAAATGACTCCGTATTTTATACGAGCAGATACCGAGAACCGTCCGGAGAAACTTCGCGGTAGTGGCAGTTTTAAAAACTCGAAAAATAAGTAATTTTTCTCTCGTGTAAACTTTCCTTTATGAGTTTTCTCTACTGCGGAGCATATGGAAACTTTTCATCTATATTTCTCTGGTATACCTGAGCTACAAAATAATTAGTCCTTCAATAGCAGCGAAAGAATACACTAACAAAATATCCTAAAAAATTGCATTGTGATTGCTCATACATTACATAATCCAGATTTTAATAAAGTCAAATTTCTTCATCATAATTTATCATAATTTAGAGAGACATGGACTACTTTTATTTTTCGTGGAATTTTTTAGTAGTAGGAGAAAGAGGAGGGAAAGAAAAAAAAAAGTCGTGTAAAGTTGTAAAATAGAATTTCCCATTACCAGACCACCGAACAAATCATAGAAAATATCTGTCACGAGAGCAACTATCACCGAATTAAACTCCCCATCCTGCATCTTGTTTAAGGACTCACCGAACTATTTTTGGCAACGATTCCAGTTCTCCCGATAAGAAGTCGCCTCCGCAAAATATATTTTAAAACGATCCCGGTCCAATTTTCCGCTTTCCGCCGCCCGGCGCCCGTCCAGGCTTTTCTTCTCCTTTTTTCTCCGCAAAAATTTATTGTCGAATTTAAGGTACACCCGTTTTATTCCCGAAATAGCAGTTTGCTTTACTGTTATTTTTGTTTACGTTCCAGCGAAGATAAACAGTGTGCATATTGCCGCCGATTCAAATGTAAAGGTTTTTGTATTATGTTTTCCTACTAGTGTTTGATGTGGTTGGATTTTAGATTGACAGCCTATCCTTGTGGGATATAGTTATTTTATGTTTGTTTATAATGTTTTCTAAGCTGTACATATTTACAGGCGAACGTCGTTTCTTTTTTTTTTCTTTTGTATCTGCTTATTTTCAAGACAAATTGTCAAGCAATTGGCATTTTTTCAGAGCGTTTAAACTTACACTCTTCGATGCTACCTTAAAGGATTGGCACATCAAAATCCTGCAGAATTTAATAACAATTTTGGAGTCTACATTCATAGAAATGAATACGAAATACTCGGAATAGGGGATGCAAACGATCGCTTTTTCTTGGAAGCAAATACCTACCTTATGGAGTGAATCTGAAAATATAGGAAAATACGAAGCTTCCGAGAAACATCAATTTGATTTTCCTGGAAATACCTGAAGCATTAGCAAACGTTGATGAAGTTATTCCAAATAATACAAATATTAAAGCCAGTTTTAATACGAATTTATACAAATATTCAGAAGATCTCCTTGTAGCAGAAAGTGATGCCTGAAATGATGCCTCTGTCTCAATCTCTATCTGTATGTCGACATTATCATTTACAGTTTCATCGTCTGTGATATAATTCACAGTGTGTTAGAAGTAAGATTTTGACCCAGGAACCTCGTATGTCCAGTGTAGTGCTCTACCAACTGAGCTACCGAGACCTTTCTCATCCGAGACTTGTCTCATTTCTACCTTGTCGGTCAAGTCTTTCATCAATTTTAAGTTGTTAGTGTGCAGACTATATCACAGACGATAAAACTTGTGAAATTGTATTGGCTTGATATTGATGGTTGGGAGTCACATCCCAATCTGCTGATGTCGCTATATGTCGACGACGCATCCGTGGCTGTATGGATAATGGATTTCAACAGCCATTAATTGCGAATGTGTTCCCCTTATACCTTCTAACTCAGTCTCATACCAACGGTAACTGCCAAAGGTTGCCGTTGGTCTTCACAACTAACAACTTAAATATGATGAAATACTTGCCCGACAAGGTAGAATGAGACAGAAGTCTTGGTAGCTCCGTCGGTAGAACACTGGATATGCGAGGGTACTGGTTCAAACTTAGTCAAGGCAAGAACATTTTTCATCAATTTTAATTGACGTTGCATGCCACTAAATTCTAACACATCATTCACTTCCATTCAAGGTTTGTCTCCCATTACAATGCGGATATTTCAAAAATATAAACTTAAACTAAAAAGTGAAAAGGAAGCCATGGAATCATGTTGCCAAGATATAGCAAAACCAAAATAATCTAGCAAGGCACTTTACCAGCTAGCCAACCACTATGGTTGGAGATCTGAATACAAAGATAGGTAAAAGGAAAGATGCCAGAAGAGCCGTAGATTATTTTGGAATAGGTCAATGAAATGAAGTACCTAGATGTTGGTTAGCTTTAGTGAAAGTCGTGCATGTCGCCTTCTTCAAGAAGAGGAAGAATTGAAACTGGACGTGGAAACCATCAAACAACGAAATCACAAATGAAATTGTCCATATTAGATTAAAGCCTGACAGAAACATATAAAACCGATTAAAGTATGTGAGGCTTTCGCAGCCCAGGTTTATTGATAAAACATTTTCATTCGGGCTTAATGGACGTCGGCCGTAAGTTGGAATTTCTTCCTGACGTGTCGTTAGCACGCATGGCTAGCATCTTCAGAGGTGTTTCCACGTCCCATTCTGGTAGCAGGCTGACGCGTTCCCGTCCGCAAATTGTATTTATGTGTGAGTGGTTGTGGTGGAGAAGGGGCGAGGCTTCGCAGCACGTCGCTGTATCTTTCTTGCGTTTTTGAGGATCGGGTTCCAAATTTGGATGTTTTAGTGTTTCTTCTTTCCAGGTAAGAAGAAACACTAAAACTGAACCAAATTTGGAACCCGATCCTCAAAAACGCAAGAAAGATCCCATTGAGTACAGAGAAAATTCAGATTAGCCACGTGCTGTGAAGCCCCGCCCCTCACCCACCAAAACCACTCACACATAAATACAACTTGCGGTCGGGAATGCGTCAGTCTGCTACCAGAATCGGACATGGAAGCACCTTTGAAGATGCTAGCCACGCGTGCTAGCGAACCGTCAGGAAGAAATTCCAACTTACGACGGCCATTAAGCCCGAATGAAAACACCTTATCCATAAAACCGAATGTTACCGAAGTGGTTCGTTTTCCAAAGCGCAATGATCACAGGATGGTATGGTCTAACATAGAAATAGATGTACAACGAGAACGAAGAAAAGCGTATCACACAGCAGAAATATAGAAAACTATTAATATGCGCTTGTATTGCATTGACGGGAACTAATAAAATCGAAGCCGGTCTTTATTTAGCCAATCAATAAGAGTTTGACTTTTCTCTTCATCGACTTAAAAAGCATAATCGCACCACTGCAAATTCTAGTAGTGTCTCTCAGCTCTTTGAGGAGGTCTTAGGAAGATAATGACCGAGTCAAATGGCAAATGAATGGATAGATTTCTGTTTGGAATCAGAGGTAGGGTTAAGGGAAGGACACAAAAAAATGGCTTACACCGACTCTATTTGGAGAAAATATCCCATTAATCCCACACTAAATAAATCCAAGAGCCAAAGCACAAAATTAATGATAATTTCTATATTTCAAAGGTAAAGATACTAAAATAGCAGATAGTCGAAGCCCCACCAGTGACGGTAGCGGGTAGACACTGAAGCTGAAGCAAATTACAAAAAAAAAGGGAAAATCTGGAAGCGATACATCCTCATAGTATGAAATAATGACAGTGAATGACGTTAAGTGTACAATCTTTTTTTTTATCTTAAAAATATTCTGGTGAAAAGAATTATTGATGAAGCCCAACAAGAAAATAAGCAAATCAGTTACTATCCAAGACATGCAGCCTATAGGATCAGAGGAAGTGAACGCACAAAACATAATGAGATGAAGAAGCCACTAGCCGAAATGAGCTTCGGGAGAGGATAATGTAATGCCAGAACTTATAAAAAACGGAAAAGGGAAGGAATGGAAA